CCGCCACAGCCCGCCGCCATACCCCGCCACCATACCATACCACCCTTCCGCCGCCGCCATCTTCTTCTTCTTCTTCTTCTTCTTGTACGACCGCCGCCACCGCCTGCCGCCATACCCCGCCACCACACCATACCGCCCTGCCGCCGCCGCCATCTTGTCCATCATTTGGCAGGTTGCGTGCGACGCGGCAGGTTAAAAAAAAAAAAAAAAAACTTCCTCCGTCCCCCTACTCTCCTCATCTTCTGCTTCTGTTACTTCGGATAACAGGGGATCTCCCTGCTTTCTCAAAAACATAATTTGTTTAACCCTTACGTGCGGTCACAGTAGGTCGCGCGAAACTCTCAAGACATATGTATTTACATATATAGAGAGGGTTATAATTATGTGACGATCACTTCTCACAATCACAGTGAGACTCCCCTCAGCCATATATATGCATATGATCGCAGACAGTCAAATCCAAAGTCCGAACCACCAAACATACTTGCAATCACATCAAAGATTCAACCAAAAGTCCATACACTACATTGGGTCAACTTCAACCATTCTCTACACTCACACCCCTCGCTTTAGTCATGCAAGCCTCACTCTTGTGCAACTCCTCAAAATAAAATACTCTGTACTTTTCTTAAATGGTCATTCAAATAAAGTCCGGGCGAAAGCACAACAAAACAATTCAAACCACATGGCTAAAGCCTTTAGGTTGAGTGGTAAGAGTGAATTGGAGTTGAGTCGTAAACCGACGAATCCGCAACCGACCTGTTATTAGTGATAACAGAAGATGATCCCTCGTAGGATCAACCTGAATCTAGTCTCAATCCTGAATCAAACGTCAAGAGGACCTGTAACACAAGACAGACCAATACCCAAGTTAAACTCATAAGTGTATGGATAATAAAGCTCCATAGCACATTCTCACCCAAGGTTCTACTAGAAGCTAAGCCTAGGCCTACCTCTAAGTCAGTACCCAACGCAATGTAGACCTATGGCAGTACCTCCCCTATTCAGGGTGGATTACCATCATTGCCAACTGTCAAAATATAGTCTAACTCCTTTAGTCAAAAGTGTCTTCTCGAAATTTATATTAGCTCAGATATGAAAACAAAAATAATATTTAATCCTGGAAAGTTAAACTTTGTCTAACTCCCTGAATCAGTAAAAATTTAGGGAACACTTCCTTTAGAAAAGAGGTCTTTCCATATTTTTACTAAGTCAGATATAAACTCAGAAACAAGACCTGAATTCAACTAAGACAAATTTAAACTAACTCATTAGATTTGTAGAAATTTTGGCAGCGCTCCCTTTAAAAAAGTGTTAATCCAAGATTTATACAAAA